CCGCCGACAACAGTAACTAATCTCCTCGTTACGTTGGAGGCAACTCAAAGGGTGAGATATTCTTTGTTTTCTATAAAGTGTCATCATTCTCAAAGTATATCTTTTTGTCTTTTTGTTTTAAATTTTTTAATTTCTATATTGTAATTTTAATAATTTTTTATTTCTACTATTTATTAAAAAAAAATTTAATATTTTATAATATTATTGAAATCTTATAATTTTAATCTCTATAATTTTATCTTACTTTTTATTTTATAAGTATAAGTTGAATTATTCATTTTATAATTAAATTAATTTTTTTTAAAATTTTTTTATAAATTTTTATATAAAAAAATGTGTTAAAACCCCTCAATCTTTAAGGATACCGTAGTAACTCCCTAAGAATATTTATCCGAACACGTTATAGTCAATCTAGAACTTATGCCTACGTGTCTTTTTAAAATATTATGCTCACACATAAAGGCTAAAGCGGATAAACATTTGACCAAGAAGGTCTAAGGATAAAGTCATAGGTTTGATGTGAAAAAGATTCCTTCACACTCTCGAAGAATAAATCAATCAATAGAGTCCATCTGATTAGACAGAGGTAAAGAAAATGAAGATAAAATAAATAATAAAGACATGTATAATTAAAATTAAGGATTTGAAAATTTAAAGTTATTTATGTGGGTGATGAATTAATTCGTTTATTTTTGTGTGTGGAGAAGGTTCTAAGCAATGCAATGTACAAGAGCGTGGAACACAGAGTGATCGTAAATTCAGATAAAGAGAGAGTCTCTCTGGCCTTTTTCTACAACCCCAAAAGTGACATACCCATAGAGCCAATAAAAGAGTTGGTAACAGAGGACATGCCTGCACTCTACCCACCCATGACCTTCGATGAATACAGGCTCTTCATCAGAACGAGAGGACCTCGTGGCAAATCTCAAGTTGAATCTTTAAAGTCTCCAACATGATCATCAATCTTCTCATATATAGGATCTTATCGCATTTTACCCAGTATAATTAATTAATTAATTAATTGTAAATCTCGTAATCAGATCGGGACTTGTTTGCACATTGAGCAACGTATCTAGATTATATAAGGATCCATATATGTATAATTAAATAGAGATTGGATATTTAGATATGTAATTGTTTGAAAGAAGATGTTTTATATGCTTTGCTATGTAACGATGCTTAAATTTTGTTGACCATCAAGATTAAGATTTTTCCTAGGTGTGTGTAAATAAAAATTGGGTTTTGTCCCCCACTTCTCCCAATCCATGATTAATTAAGCACACCATAATTTTAAAAAACTAGATATCATCATTCTATTACCACATTAAATATAGAGACGACTGTCTGCTTGATATGCCTTATTTCAACTTCATGGTATACTACACCTTCCTGTCCTTTTCTTTGCCGTTTGTTTATGTTGCTGCTCATATTTTCCCCCCCTTTTTAGTTATACTTCTTGCAACAAATTGCAATACTATATGTGTTGTGTTTGATTATCTCTTAAAATCACGTGCATTCAACAAAATCTTGCAATCATGCTTAGTGCTCTAGAACGTATCATATGAATAGTTAAACGGTGATCCAAATACACACGATTTGTATTTGGTTATATTACACGTAGGTTTCATATTATTTGAACTTTTTTAATAAGATCAAATGCTTTTTAGAAGTTTGGAATAAAGTTTTAGGGTTTTTTAAAAAATAAAAATAAAAATCCCATGTATATGTTAAAAATAATTAAAATTTATAATGATGTTGTAAAAGTAGTTCATTAAAAAAAATTAAAACGAGTGTGTTTACAAGTCACTAGCTTATAAGCTGATTTAATTATTTTTTAGTTAATTTAATCAAATATACTATCATAATTTAGTAGTTTTTAACTTGTTTTCACGTGTTACATCAATTAGTTTATAACTCAAACAAATAATTTATCCTTATATTTGTCTAATAGTTTTATGACTAACATACCAACTCTACAATAGTTTATTTAAAGTATAGGTTATATTCACATGCATTTGTAAGATATTTTATAATTTTTATTATCCTAATTAAAACTTGTAAAAGAAATATTTATAATTGTACATAAATTTGTTGTTTTGTGATTGAACATTAAATTTATAAGCAAACAAGTATAAAAAGATAGATATAAAGTTAAGGAAAAACAATGAGAATGATTATTAGGATATCTATCTACCTCCTCTATTCTCTTAAGAATATTTACATATAATTCTTATCACTTAGTGTTATTAAATTTATTTTTAGCATTTAGAATTATTAGGTAATTTGATTTAAATCATATTTAGAATTTATTTTTCCGTCCAAATCTAAATCTCAAATCAAAAGATGAGTGATAAGTGATTAATTCACCTCAAGCATTAAGCACAAGAAAAATCACTAACATGAATAACACGATATCATATATATAAAACGAAATGATTACAAAAGAGTTTTATAGATTTACTTTCAATCCCAACAAGGAGGAAGATTAGCTACTTATGATGGTAAGAGCAATCTCTATTTGTAATAAAAGCATGAGAAAAAAAAATGACCCAAGATCTTTCCTTCCTAGAGGTCTTGAATCTTTTTCCTTTCTTTTGTTCTTCATTCTCTTTCTTTCTCGAATTTTTTATCTATAATTTTCTTTTTCCAATTCCCTTTTATATCTTTAGTTAAAAAGGCAGAGCATCACTTAAGTGAGCAATCCGCTCAACTATTTTAGTTTGGTTAAGCAAATTTTAAAATTTTTCATGTTGAAGAAAGTTCAATCTGAACCCTTTCTAGTTCGCTTAACACTTTTTCGTTCCAATTTTCTTTTTTCTTTGGACCATATTTGTTTAGCTATTTTGATTTGGTTAAGCCAAATCTTGTGGAACCTCTCATTTATTTTTCTCCATTCCGTTGAGCGAAATTCATTTAACTAAGTGATTTTCACATTTTTTTAGGACTTGAGACTTCATCAATTCAACAGAAAATTAGGACTTATTGATCCACAAAAATTACCATCTCTTCAAAACAAATTAATTTACATATCCTTTTGATTTTCACAATATTCTTGGTAGGGATGGCAACGGGGCAGAGCAGGTACGGGTTTCATGATATCCGTCCTTGTTCCCACGAGTTAAACCCATCCCCGTCCCCGTCCTCATACCCGTTGGGTATAGATTTTCATCCCCATCCTCGTCCCCGTCAGGTATCGGGTATACCCGTACCGGTACCCGTACCCGTCAATTTTTTTATTTTTAATTTTTTGTAAAAAAATGATATTTTTAAATTATTTTTTATTATATTATAATTATAATTAAGTTATTTTTTTTATCTTATATTATAATAAATAATCACACATAAAAAATATTAAATTTTTTTAATATAATTAAATTGAAAGTGAGTATTAAATTAAAAATGAGAACGGAGACGGGTACGGGTATAGGTACGGGGCGGGTAAGTACATACCCGTACCCGTACCCGATTTAATATATCGGATTTTACCCATACTCGTACCCGTACCTGGTCAAACCGGGTATTTCCCGTCAAAGTTGGGACGGTTCGGATATTACCCGTAGATACGGGTATGTTTGCCATCCCTAATTCTTGGCGTTAAAATTAATTTTTTCTTTTAATCCTAGACAAATAAGTCTCAACAAGATCAAGATTATATTTTTTAAAGTAAAATTGATACTTATTGTTATTCTCACTAATTTACTTAACATCTTTTTTCACTTTTTTTCCAGTTTAGAAATTCTTTTGCTTATATTATCACTTTTAACAATGTCATGTTTTACTTTACACATCTTTAGTTCTCACACTCACAATGACAATAAATATCTTTGATGTTACCCATGTTAATTTGACTTGTCAATTGTTGTCATTGCACTATCCCTTTATACAATTTTTTTGTTTACTAATAATATTATTATATAAATTATTCAAATATTAAAAAATAAAATTTATAATTTAATTAACGTATATTTTTTTGAAATGAAGGAAACATATACAAAAAAATTAAAATTGAAAAGAATGACCATCAATCTTCCTTTAATATAAAATTATCAATTTTTTATCATTATTTTTTAATATAAGTTATTAGAAATAATTTTAAACATTGGAAAGATAGCAAAATAATCGTTCCACGAGTCAACACATGAAAAGTAGGTCATATTGATTATACTAAACCAAATTGACTGAGGTTTTTTCAAAAATATTTTTACATGAATAAAAGAAAAGTAAAAAAAAATCGTAAAACTTAATTTTTGGCCTCGATCACCCATAGAGTCAGAACAAATTAAACTTAACCTAAATTGTGAGCTATTTAAGCTACGCGTTGATCTGGGTCCTTTGTGTTACCTCTACCCATAAAAAAAACGACTTACAATTATAAAGCATAATTATCTAACCATGCCATATCAGAAATTCAGAATTTCTTTTTAACTAATCTAATGTCTGATGATGTTCATGTTATTTACTTATCTGATTATATAATTTTCTTATCCTTTGCAAATCCATTTCATTTTTGCTCCCAGTAATTGATTGATTGCAAAAACACGTGTCCATCAAGAAAATTTATTTGTGCTAATTGTAGAAAAAGTTAAATAAATTCATTTTTCTCTGGTTTGGAATGACATGCATCTAGGATTTTTGTTCGAGGTAAGACCCTAAAAAATCAAAGCATTCTAGAGTGTAAGCTGTCCTTCTAGGTCTAGGGTTTAGGAATTTATTTTTACTTGTTCATGGGTTTTATAAACCTTACAAATATTGTAATTTTCTAAAGTCATTTTATTATCGTAATATCTAGTTATTAAAAATAAGATTCTATCCTAGATACGATTTTTCATAGCAAACTTATTTCGATCCCCTTTTAGAGTGGTATCCACTTAAAAGTCGGCCTCCCTCAATACTCGAGTAGTCCCCCTTAGCCCAACCTTCAACATACTCAATTGAAGATTTCCACCAAGGCCTCTCGGCAAAACCATCTTAGAATTTATTCGAGATGGTAGACTTGCCCCCTAACCCTAAGCCTAAAAGGCGTAAGACTTGATTAGTAGTTACAATATTTGACTCTTTCAGCAGAATCATCTTGAAATTTATCTAAGATAGTATACTTGCCCCTAAAAGGCATAAAGGCTTGATTAATAGTTGAGATGCTTGACTCCTTTCGGTAGATTCCTCTTGGCAGAACCAAATTCTAGTTTTTTGAGAAGAAATTTTCTATATTTTGGAGTGTCGCAGTTGGGTTTCAGTTAGTGGTGTTGGAAGTCAAGGATGCTTTCTCTATTTCAATCATCCTATAAGAATTTCAAATGAACATCATATGAACATTTACTCAAGGGTTTCCTCTTTATTGGAGTTAGAATCTGACATCATATGGCAGGCTGGATTTCGAGAAGATTTCGAAGAATGATCAGAGGATGCACTACAACAAAAACTAATATTACCACAGCTTACTACTCACAACTCAGCTCAACATTCTATAGTACAACAATATTATAATTCAGCATTTAAGATCATCAATTACAGCCCAGCTCAGCACGACAATATACATCTAGTATTCAACATTATCATCTAGTCAGCACAACATATTCCTCAAATTCAGCTTAGTTCAGCATAAAACAACATCTATCAACAATTTCAGCATATAAGTTATCATCAACATACACGTCCGGCGCACTCATGGTCGCGTCCAGCGCGGCTCAACCAAAGAGCACCAGGGGCCAGCACGCCTGGCGCAAGAAAGCCCGCGCCCGGCGTGACCCAGAGAGCCCAAGGCTCTCGCGCGCCTGGCGCAATTCAGATTTGCGCCCAGCACAAGCCCAGGCAGAGATTCTAAGGAATCTCACGCGCCCGGCGTGCCCTAACCCGCGCCCAGCGCGGGGAAGGCAGAGCTCTCCCAAGGTCTCGCGCCCAGCGCAATTTAAATTGTGCCCAGCGCCCCCATGGCAAAGGCTATCCAGAGGCTCACCTTCTCAAGCTCGCCCGGCGCACACATCTTTGTGCCCGGCAGGCTTGCCTAAAAGGAGCCTCCAGGTGGTCTCGCGCCCGGCGCGAAGAACGGCTCTCAGCGCGAGGCTCAGCAGCAACCCACCAAGTTTGAAAATTTTCCCAAAACCTTCAATAATCTACTCATCCAGCACATGCAAACCAGCCAAAAGTTCACATTTTCATCCAAGAGTTCAAAAATATAATTTTTTCACACATGCAATCATCAAACAAGAAAAACCCAAATTTTTCCTCCAACATCCCGAAAACCCCGAAAA